TATAATTACTTTTACCATTCAGGAGTAATTATTAATAATCAAATAGTTACTTTTACCATTCATGAGTAATCATTAATAATCATATAGTTACTTTAACCATTCAGAAATAATCATTAATAATCAAATAGTTACTTTTACCATTCAGGAGTAATCATTAATAATCATATAATTACTTTTACCATTCAGGAGTAATCATTAATAATCAAATAGTTACTTTTACCATTCAGGAGTAATCATTAATAATCATATAGTTACTTTAACCATTCAGGAGTAATCATTAATAATCAAATAGTTACTTTTATCATTGAGGAGTAATCATTAATAATCGTATAGTTACTTTTACCATTCAGGAGTAATCATTAACAATCATATAATTACTTTTACCATTCAGGAATAATCATTAATTATCACAAACAAAACAAATCTCTGTAGCCAGTTTCTGTATCAGGTTTTGTACATCGAAATAACTGGAAATTAAAATCTGGAAGTAACAAAAAGCACACTACGTCCAATTTTCAGACTGAATTAGTTATACCACTCATGATTTCATTAGATATCCAATAAACAAGATGATTGTACTATTTACAACCACTTTATAACATGAAATACAATTAGTATTAAGTAGTCCTTCATCTACTCACACTGTACAGAGAACAAAATAGTAATTACTACAGGTATTACTACACTTGCCTGAAGTGTACAATTGTCTGTTCGTTGTAGAAATTCAACAAACCGGGGAATTATTCCAGTCTGAATAACTTCATCAATTGGTGGGTTAGGTTCTAAAAAGATGAATTAAATTATAGCCACATTAAATATTGTTGCAATAACTACAACCTTACATAAAAAAAAGTTACACAATTAAAAAGTTCGGAGTGTCTGCCTAAAGCCCTTTTTCTCTGCATATGGCACTTTAAGTTTAACTTCAAATACAAAGTTTAACAAACTTCCGAGTGACCATAGTTCTGTGTATTATGTGCATATAGTGATATTCACATTTTTCCCTTTAAGTACCAGTTTCTGTTCCTTGTTGTCCGTGTACAGCTCACTAAGCCCTTAACTTCAGAAGTTTTTTTTTTATCGGAAAAGTTATTACCTTTTGATAAAAGCTTTCTAAACTTCTGGGTGGCTGCCAGCTGCTGTTCAGTGTTGTCCGTATAGAGTGATGCAACCATCTCGGGTGTAATCATTGGCTGAAATGAAACAATAAGTATAATATTACATGTATTTTTAAGAACTTATGAATGAAAGCAAAGATGAAAAAGTTATAATATACCAACCATACTACATCTAGCTGATGAGGAATTTTAAAAACTGACACAAACTTTAGTTACTAAACTCAAGAAAAGAAAGTTTAAAACATAAGATTCTACATCCATGTGTAATTATTTTGGCAAACGAGGAAACTACATCTGTTTAAGTGACGTAATCTGACTAAAATCCCATATAAAAACTGTTAAATACGATCATATAATCGAATGATATTTTAAAACATTTTTACCATGAATACAAATGTTAATCATTTCGAGGTAGAATATTTTTCTTTCTAACTAGTTTAATAATACGATAGAAAGTTAATCTCAAAAACACATTTACTCCGTCAAGTGGTTGCAGTGACGACAGTGAAATGTCTTAGTATGAAGGTGCTGGGAAGGTTTCTTTTAAATTCTCAGTGATGAGTTAATTGAAAACTTCTTAATATGCAGGCATCCATTTGCAGCTAAAGAAAATATTGTTTAATCAAGGTAATATCACATTCAGTTTGTACCAACTTTTATTGTTCTTTCTACTGTAAGAAGCAAACCGTATTCTTATTTCTACCTTATAATGGCTGGAGACGGCTTGAGTGGGTAATGAAGAAAAACTTTAATATAAGTTTAACATAACAGCAAATCTACAACGTTTCGACAAGGGTTTTTCATTATCAGGGACACAAAAACCTGTTGAAAACTTTTTCATTTTCTTTTTTTTTT